TCAGGGAGGTTCCCCCCCCCCATTTCCCCAGGGAAGGGGCCTGGCGTCCCCCTCCTCTCATACGGTGATTCTGCCCTCTGTGTCCACGTCCAGCCTGGGCCTCTGGGGAACTCTGACCAAAGTCGAGCAAGAAAGAGCTGAAAGGTAAGAAAATCATCTGAGGGGTCAGGTGTGCAGCCTACAGCCATCTCTGAACTCAGCCCCCGGGCTGATCTGCCTCGGTGTCCCTCTCTGAGGAATCTAACTCTCTGAAGTGACCAGAAAGCTTAGAAATCAGTACTGGGTCAGATGGAGCTATCCAACCTGTACAGGCCCCTGTCTTCCTCTGAGCCTCAGCCACCAGCCCTCCCCCACCCCACCCCAGACTCATAGTACAGAGTGGCACCTGTCAGCTATTGTTAGAACCAGAGTCACATCCAGTTCAGGTTGATTTGGAACAGTGGTGGGCACCCCAGAGGCCAAAAGCCAACGCAGCCCTACCTACAGAGCCTTCAGACCTGTGCTGATCCACACTTAACTCCTCAAAGTGGCACCCATCAGAATAGAGAGGGGCCATGTATGTAAAATAAGTTGGATTTTAGAGACTTAGTAGGAGAAAAAGAAAATAACATCCCACTAGATAGTCATTAGGTTAGTGGTTCTTTATTATGAAGAAAAATATACACTTGAAAAGTCCTGTACATAATCCCACTACCCAGAATCCACTTCGGGGAACCCAAAATGCTTCTTTCCAACTTCCCATCTTATGTGGATGATGACTAATTCACACTCTGGGTGCCTGGCTCCTCTGGCTCCTGTTCTGGTGGCTGGTAGCAGGCTTTTTGCAGTAATAAGCGGTACTGAAGATATATATCACATCCTTACATGGTGCCTTTTAGAGATGCCTAAAAGGTATTAGGTCCTTTTAGAGTCAAATCACACTGGCTTGGTTTGTTGGTTTATTGGTTTGTTTGGTCAGGAGTACTGACTACTGTCTATGGCCATACCACCCTGAACACACCTGATCTCAGAAGCTAAGCAGGGTTGGTCTTGATTAGTACTTCGATGGGAGAAGTACTGACTACAGATACTTGTCTGTCAGTTTTCTGCTCTCTCCTTTCCAAATGACAGCCTGTGAGAAGTGAGAGGTCCTTTCTAACACTCCATTAGACTACTGAAGAATGTTGAAATAATAGACTTTGGATAATTGAGTTAAGTAAATGTACTGTTAGCATTCATCTTGCCTACTTGCTTTTATTTTTTGGTTTATTGCTTAGTTGGTTGGTTTTTTTGAGACATGATCTTGCTATGTAGTTTTGGCTGTCCTGAAACTCACTCTGTAGCCCAAGCTGGCCTCAGACTCAAGGCAATCATCCTACCTTAGCCTCCCCAGTGCTAGGATTACAAGCATGAGCCACTGTATCTAGTAACCTAATTACTTTTTTAATGTGGCGACTAGAAAATGTAAAGTTATATGTAAGGCTCAGAGTGCATTTCCATTGGGCAGCCACAGATGAGTAGAGGGGTTTTGCATAATGGGATGTAACTAGCACCAGATTGGTTTACCTGAAGGTGGTTGATAAGGAACCCCCACCACCTACCTTCTGAATACCCTGGGGCTGTCCCAGAACATTCTGCAACACTGTGTCTTGTCAGGTAGGGACTTTTGATACATGTAACTAAAAATGAACTCAATTCCCCAAAACTGGGAATCTCTGGCTTTACCAATTAGATCACACTGACTTAAAGCAGGTAGGTTCCAGGCTTCCCCTTTCATTAAGCTGCTTCTGCAAGCTGGCCCCTGGTGGCCCTGTGACAGCCTCATGACAGCTCTCGGCAACTCCCAGCTCACTTACCCTACTGTGAGCAATCCTAGTAGGGCAATGACTTTTGCTGACTCAGACCTACTCCTGACCCAAGCATAAGTTGAGAAGAATATGCTGGACTGTCCAGCAGGGAAGCTGAGCCCACCTCTAGAAAGGACACCCTGGGTAAGGAGGCCTCCTGGGTTCATACTTAACCTATTTCAGGATGCCTGTGCCAGAAGAGGTAAAGATGCCAGAAAGGGAGAAAGGTCCTGAGGTTCCCTCTAGGTGGCAGATAAGGACAGCCTCAGCGGCACACTTGTCCCTTCTCTGCAAACCTCTCCTTTATTCTCTATAGCTGCCTTTACCACACTGATTGAATCTGACATGGCTCCTAGCTCCAGGCTTGACACTGTCTGATTGTCTAATAATGTCTCTAGTTTAAATTCTTCAGGGATTGTCACTGACTTTGGACTGGTTGACCATGGTCCTGTCCTGCCCTGGTCATATCATGAGTGTCCAGAGGGCATGTTCTAGATAAGCCCCTTTTCCTATTATAGAACAGGGGGTGGGTTCCCAAAACTAGCATAGTGAACCATACAAGACCTACTCACCTGTCAGTCACATTGACTTGTAAAAGACTCCACACCCACTCCTGTCCTAAGGTTAGCATAAGAGGCTGGTTTGCGTAAAATGACAGCACAATTATCGTATATGTGCGACTCCTTATCCCACTCACAAACTCACATTGCAAGCCCTGCCATGTAGCATTGTATGTGACTAGCTATTCCTCAAGGCATACTTGGAGCCACCTGCCTCTGCCTCCCAAGTGCTGGGATTAAAGGTATATACCACTGCTACCCAGTGATATATCTTGTTCTTTTTTTAAGATTTTATTTATTTATTTATTATGTATACAACATTCTGTCTCCATGTATGCCTGCACGCCAGAAGAGGGCACCAGATCTCATTACGGATGGTTGTGAGCCACCATGTGGTTGCTAGGAATTGAACTCATGACCTCTGGAAGAGCAGCCAGTGCTCTCAACCTCTGAGCCATCTCTCCAGCCCATACCTTGTTCTTAATTGTGATAAAATTCACAGAATACCTCTCTTATACTGTGTGTAAGGTTGATTCCTTAACCCCTGATAACCGAAGGGTGGAAGGTAGCATGCTTATCTTCACAGAAAGAGCTGAAGTGGTAAGGAATAAGTTAAACAAGGAATGGAAGCATGCAACTGGACTTCTGTCCTCAGGAAGGCCATTATGGGATGTTGCCTTTAGTAGGCACTGGAATCTGGGTATCCTTACCCTAAGAGAAGTGGTTGCCTTCATCTGAGCAGTATATATAGCAACTATCTTGATTTATATGGAACACCACCTCCCCCTTTCCTCCCCCACAATCTTGCTCTGGATTCTCCTTGACTCCTCAACCCTGTAATCTCTGTGGAAAGAATTTAGATAAGACATACAGACCATAGGATAAGAGATAAGTATTGTTTATTACAAATCTATACACTGCTGCTCTCAAGGGTGAGAGTAGACAATGCTCAAGGAGTGAGAGCAGACAATGACCAAAAAGGACCATTACAGAACAAAATACTCATGGTCATTGAAGGTAGGTATGGGCTAGACGTATGGGGAGGTTCATTGGCCTAGTGCCTAGGATGGCTTTCCACATAACCCTCCCTAACATGGGCTGAGTAGAACAGAGAAGAACAAACACAACCCAAGGTAAAATAAGCTTTGGTTCTAGTTGCAGTGGTGGCACATGCCTTTAGTCCCAGCACTCAGGAGACAGAGGCAGGCAGATCTCTGAGTTCAAGGCCAGTCTAGTCTACAGAGTAAGTTCTAGGACAGCCAGGGCTACATGGAGAAACCTGGAGGGAGGGAGGGAGGGAGAGAGGGAGGGAGGGAGGGAGAGTATTCATCCCCAATAACTTCCAAGCCTGGTAATATCCAATTAGTTGTCTAATACCCCTGTGCATCTTGTCATCTTGGTATGTGCAAACTGAAGTACAAAGTGCCTTCATGACCAGCCCAAAGTGAGAAGTCTAGATTCTAAACCTCTCACAAGTTCTCTGGTTGATTCCACCCACATGTGTTATCACAGCTTGACCTTGGGGGAAGCAGGCTTGTAGCATACAGCTATGGGGGCAGGATGCTGAAAGCTGCCTGGTCTAGACCTCCCAATGCCACCCTGTGCATCCTCACCCTTGTCTTGTTTTGCTGCTTGCCATCCTTCACTGTGATGAGCCATAGCTGGGAATTGTCTGCATGTCCTTCTTCCAATGAGAGTTTTCCACAATTGATTCAAAGCACAGTTTACATCTCAAAGGGAGTAAGAGTTTATTCTGAGCCAAATCTGGGAGATCACAGCCTAGAAATATGGGTTCAGGTTTCCTTGCATAACATTCCAATGTGGAAGTGAAATAAAGTCATACTCATGAGCTCCAGGTGGTCATGAATATGGAGAAATACAATTCCATCCAGGCAGTGTAGCCTACAACCTGTTCATCTGTCATCTGGTGGCCACGTGTACTGGCCCTAGCCCTTGATGGTTGGAATCAGACTGCCATGGACACGCATGTAGTCTTGGAGCACGAGTTTTCAGGTCTGTGAGGTACACTGAGCCAGGCTGCCAAGCCATGTGGTAACTCTAGGCTCAGCTTTCAGAGGAACCTCACCACTTGCTTTTGAAATCTAAATTTGCATAGCAGCTTTATGATGAAAATAGATGTGTATTCTTAGACACCAAGACTCTAGGAGCATACAGAGGTTGATCTCAGCTGGGGAGAAAGGCACACACAGATATGTTCCTGGTGGTGGTCAAACTGATATAAAGGTGAGAGCCAGCAAATTCCTAGTGAGCCCTGGAGCAGCTTACGAAGCTGCCAGAGTTTGGGAAAATTCTATGGCTCTTCCTTGTAACAAAAGAACCATTTGTTGGAAGGGTTCATTCCTCATCTCTTTGATCTTCCCTGCAGATGGGCTGGGGTGACCTGGGTGTGTATGGAGAACCTTCCAGAGAGACCCCAAATTTGGACCAGATGGCTCTAGAAGGGATGCTTTTCCCAAACTTCTATTCTGCCAACCCTTTGTGCTCACCATGTAAGTTGCTGCTGCCCTCTGCCTCGTACCCTGTTAGCCAGCAGTCTGCCACATCTGCCCCTGCAACCCTAATCTAGGTAAATCAACCTTTTCTCAAGTGTCAGGAAGGCTGCAGGTAGAGTGAGGGACTTTGTTGCTGGTCATGCTGGCTCCTGACTCTGAGCCCTCTGGCCACCATAAGTTTGGAGCTTATTAGGTCCCTTTAAGGGTAATAGCCTGCTAGATAGCTAGCTATTGCCATCTGCCTCCCAGAAGACAGGGATCACTCTGTCCCAGGGAAGAGCTGCTGTCTGTCTCCCAGAACTGCCACACTGCCCTCAGAGTACTGTCTGTACTTCCTGGTCACATGTCATGGGTGTTGTGAGGAGGCAGTGAGGCCATGTCCTCTTCCCAAAGAATGCCACTCCTACTACATTGGTTTTCACAGAAATGCTGACCTTAAGAAAGAACAGTAGATGGGATGAGGGGTCAGTAGGAGGCAGGCCATATGGGCCTACAGTCTGGTAGCTGTCCCAGAGTCTCAAGACTGAGCACAGGAACAGAGCTGAGTAGCAGAGCCTGCTATATAAACCTCTATCCATCAACAGGCCATTGGACCATATCCCAGTGCCCAATTCTGCAATACAGAGGCTAGAGGGGATTGAAACACAACAGTTCAGTGTTAACCTGATGCATTTGTGACAGACACATCCCAGAAACTGTGCACATGGGAGGCACTGCTGAGGGTACTACTAGATTTGTGTTATAGTGTCTGTTTTTATCCTTTTATGTAGCCAGGGCAGCCCTGCTCACAGGACGGCTGCCCATCCGAAATGGCTTCTACACATCCAACGGGCATGCAAGAAATGGTATGCTTCCCTGCCAACTCCCACCCTCATAGCCCTGCAGGTACCTCAGTCTAGATTAGGGAAAGCTAGTGTCCTAGGCCTTAGTGTGAAAGGTTTGGCAAATAAAGGCACCTAAGGCAGAACTGAGTACCACAGTGCAGACCCCATGTCACAAGCTTCCTCCCTCCCTGAATTGGCCCAGTGAGAACCAAGCTGGGGCTGAGGCACCTCAGGTACACCACACAGCATCCTTCCACCACCCTTGACCTGCTCCTGGGATACTGCCTGGCATGGCTCCTATTCCACTGGGAAAGCCATGAAGTTTCAGGTCACAGCAGGGAATGTTCTAGAAATAAGCTCAAGAGCTTGCATGGGTTCTATAAGAATAGGGTCCCAGATGAGATAGGATTTCAAGTGGCCTTGAAGAAGAGGAATATGAGAAGAACCAGGATCACAGCCTGTAGGGAACAGCATGGTGTCAAATGCCAAACCAGGCTGGAGAGGTGAGAGACATATGGGGACTAGGGGCAGCATTACACCGCCCCCACCATGTTGATACTAACTTGGAGAGTACCTGGGAATATCGAGGTGTGTCCCTTCCCTGATCACAGTTCTATCTGTCTATCTAGATGGAGCAGTATGTGCATCCATTACAGAGATGTGGTATTTCTAATGCAGGATTGTTCTTCCAGCTTATACACCTCAGGAGATCATGGGTGGCATCCCTAACTCAGAGCACCTCCTGCCAGAACTCCTGAAGAAGGCAGGCTACACCAACAAGATAGTGGGCAAATGGTGAGTCCTAGACCTACCTCTGGGCAGGTCTTTCCAAATGAGGAGTAGAAAGTAGATTTCAGGTCCATTTAGATTTTTGAAGGGAATTTTTTGTTTTCTGAGGCAAGGTCTCACTATGTAGTTCAAACTGATTTTGATTTCATGACCCATGGCCTCAGCCTCCCACATGCTGAGATTATAGTTATACACTATCTATAATCCTGCAGGGAGCTTTTAAGAACTTGGTGTTTCAGGCACACACATAGGACACAGACATGCATGCAGGTAAAACACCCATGCACATAAAATAAAAATAAATACATCTTTTTTTAATTAAAAAAAAAGAACTTGGTGTGTAAAGTCAAGAACTCGATGAGTGTGGTGGTGAACACCTTTAATCCCAGCACTTGGGAGGCAGAGACAGTCAGATCTCTGTGAGTTTGAGGTCAGCCTGGTCTACATAGCAAGTCCAGGCCAGCCAAGACTACATAGTGAGACCCTGTCTCAAATAAATAAAATTAAATTAAAAAGTTAGGATCTTAGTTCCATCGGGAAGTCGAGACACCTGCCTCCAGCAAAGCTGTCTCAGCATGACACTAAGCAAGCAAGCATTCAGTCATCATCCCCATCCTTCCTCCTTCCCACCATACTTTCTGCCATCTCTGCCCCACCCATGCCTGCAGCCACAATAAAGTGTCACTAAATGAGCCAACCACTGTCTTGCATACAGATGAGACAGTTTGCCAGTTGCCAGAGGGCTTCTGTCTAGTGATAAACTTTGTCATAAGCCACAAAGAAAAGCAGGGAAGCAGCAGGTGTCTGAGTCTGTGAGATGGGACAATCACATCAATAACTGCTTCTGTTGCTTCACTGTTGCTGGTTTCTGCACTGACATTCATTTCTGTTACTCCTGCAACATCCCATGATCCCCTTAATGGAGTTTTCTCCGGCCTGAGGCCAAGCAGGCCCCTTCCCTGGGGAAGCCTTCCACAGTTTTCTGTTCTTTGTGATTTTTCACTGTTCATGGCTCCCCTTGGGTCTGTTTTCTGAGTCTGTTACTAGTCACAGTGGTGGAAACCTGATAGTAGGAAATCCAGGAAACCTAGAGCTGCTTAAGAAATATTTGTCAAGGCTGGAGAGATGGCTCAGAGGTTAAGAGCACTGACTGCTCTTCCAGAGGTCCTGAGTTCAATTCCCAGCAACCACATGGTGGCTCACAACCATCCATTATGAGATCTGGTGCCCTCTTCTGGTGTGCAGATATACATGGAAGCAGAATGTTGTATATATAACAAATAAATAAAATCTTAAAAAAATAGTTGTCACCTTTCAAGCAAAAAATGAAACCTAGCCATAACAAGGGGATGATAGCAGAGAAGAACTGATAGGCATCAGGTCCCTCTTCATCAGCACAATCCCCAAGCAGATGGCAAGGAAGTCCAGGCAGGGAACCATGACAGAGACAAGCAAGAAAGATCTGGAGGCCCCACTATAACCAGAGATGCCTGTCTCTTACCTGACAGTTCTGCCAGGTTCACAGCTTCCTGATGTCAGAGACTGAAGTGGCCAGAGCTGAACAGGAAACAAGTTTCCACAGAGCTATTGATCTTCCTGGATGACTTCTGTTAGGAAAGAGGTTACCAAGAAGAACTCTGCTAGACTCTGAAAGAGGCGCAGTGGGCAGAGGCCAGTGGTGGGACCAGGCTCTCAGAGACTGGAGACAGATCTTTAGTTGCTCTTCTATGAGCAGGATTTAGTCCAGTGCTATCAACTGCAGGCAGTACTGCCCTGTGTGCTTTATGCAGACCTCAGCACTGAGGGTCTAGATTTCATCTCCCTAACCAAGTCCTGCATGGGCAGAGCCTAGACTCCTTCAAGTAGACTGCATAATCTGCCAGCAGCCAAATGTGTGTGAATGAGGCTGAAACACAAATCTCAAGAGACCTCCAGCCCATTCTCCAATCCTTCTCACCTGCTGGTTAGTACCAACCATAGTTAGGACCAAGTGTATAGAATTATAGCTGTGTCCAGGCAGGGCACTGGTCATGCTTCTCTTACACCAAGGCTATAGAATGCTAGACATGGACTCAAGGGTTCTCCCATCTGCCCTGCGATGTCCAGAAATGGCAAGTGTCTTGTAGTGGGCCTGAGAGCGTGTCCAACCTAGAGGAAGTAGTATGGGCTGGCTTAAGGATCTGAGATGTCATTGTACCATAGTGGTGCACTGGTACCTAAAGGATTGATTATAGACTGAGTGTGCGAAGGTCAGAGAATAGCTCTAGGGTCACTGTGTGCAGCCATTAGGCAGACCAAGCACTGCCAAGCCAGCCATGCTGTGCCAATCTCCCCTGCAAGTGGGGAGACTGAGTTCTAGACAGCTGTTCTCTGAAGAGCAGGTAGAGTAGTTGCTGAACAACCAGTTGTTCCCAAAGACTTCTCTGCTGCCCCTTAACTCTACCCATGGTATGGAATGGCAACCTTGGATCTACACACTCTGTACCTGGATGAAAGGTCAAGGTGGAGCCTCCCTGAAGAGAGCCCATCCCAAGTACAGCTGGGAAAAGGACTCTCCACCTCAGGGATTCTGTGTTAAAAGCTGTACCTGAAAAGGGCTTTCTGCAGGTGTGCGTGCACAATGCAGATAAACAGATCTGCGTCCCAGGCTGGATGGTAATGGCACACATAGCTTGGTTTGGAGTCAGTAGTAGTCTAACATGTGCTCTGAAGAGCCAGTAGGAGCTGCAGTCCCCAGGAAGAACAAGCTCTGCTTCAGGGATAACTTGGAACTGCTAACCCACTGATGTTTGAAGTTGGGATGGTGGCACCTCTCAGCAACCTTCCTGTGGTTACTAGTAGATGGAGGGAATACAATTAAGTGTCCCTGAAAGAAAAGGAGGGAGGATGGGAGAACATGGGGTCATACCTGCATGGGGGGGGCTCACAAAGGGACCCTGCAGCTTTGACTAAGGCCCTTTACCCTGTGAAGCTTTACTCTGTGGACCTCTCTCATCTCTAGGTCTCCACATAGCTTGCACTATCACCAGAGTAGAGTAGGTGTACTGCCGTATTCTTTCTTGTTCACTCCAATATCAGTTCATGCCCTAAGCACTATATCATCTTCCCATCTAGTCACTTTCCTGGTGATTTCCCTTAGCTGGGGTAATACTCTGACTTTTGTGTTAACAGATGGAGGGGTGAACTGCTTGAGTAGAAACCTAAGGAAGAAACACAGTCCTTGAAGTGTCCCTGGGGGTAAAGAAAGGCAGGAGGAAGCTACTAGAGTCTAGAGATAGTTGAAATGGGCATTTGCATACAGCTGCTTTCAAGGCATTGGGGAGATTTCTCTCCATGCACTATCCTTCAGGGTTTCTTTCCAGATCCTGAAGGACCGACCCCTAGACCCTCTTTTGTGTGACAGTATGCCCAGATGCCATTGGCTGTGCTGGGACATCTTCAGCTGTGCCTGGAAACCCTTGGCTTTGTCAGGACACTATCTGCTCTGCTGAAATGTCTTTGGATATGCTTAGAGCTCTGGACGATAGCATTGTCTGGGGAGGGCAGATAGGTTCCTGTGCTCCCTCTTGAAGTGAGGTCTTGGCCTTTTGTATCTTGGTGTGTCTAGATCATGGGGTGCTGGAATACTGGAAGATTGCTTATATGGTTAGCAAATGTGATGGTAAAGGATTGTTGTTGATCAAAACATTGGAGTGTCCCCAGTGAGGGGGGGTCTCTGAAGTGTCTTGGTTCCTGTTTCTAGGCATCTAGGTCACAGACCCCAGTTCCATCCCTTGAAACATGGATTTGATGAGTGGTTTGGATCCCCCAACTGTCACTTTGGACCTTACGACAACAAGGTCAAGCCCAACATCCCTGTGTACAGGGACTGGGAGATGGTCGGCAGGTAACAGACAGAGCCCCTTCCCTTCCCTCCTGCTCCATCCCGGTGTCCTTCACTCCTGCCCTTTGTCTCTAGTGCTTGCCCAGGAACAGGACTGGTGTTCTTGAACTACCAGCTGGCATCAGTATCCTATGTGCTGAAAGTGAGAGCTCTGCTTCTTAGGCAGTTCCGCCCAGGAGTCTCACCTAAGGCCGTTTCTAACCTTTCCAGAGTCATAGATTCCTTTCATACATGTGACTCAAAGGTCCTCCCGCATCCAAAGTGTGCTCATAGCTTATATTTTGGGGGGTCTAGGACCCGTGTACCCTCTTGGTGAGGTAACTGTCATCTTCAGGCACTAAGTTGGCCTATTAGCTGCACACAAGAGAGGAGACTGTGGGGCTAAATTGATGTGAGTCACTCCAGGGCCTTTCCATTGTTACCACAGAAAGAAATCTACTCTGGAGGGGAGACCATTTGGGACAGGCCTTGTAGGGATGCCTCCAGCTTGTAGCTTTGGTGTCAAGGACCTGACTCATCTTTCTTGAATTTTGATTGCTTAATTTTCCTTTTCCTTCCTCCTTTGTTCCGTGGGTGGAAGTTCTTATATCAGCAGACCTAAAGGTTGAGCCAAAAATTGCCCTTTTAAAAATGAGTGTTTCATATCTGCAGTGGGTTGTTCAAGGGCCCTTGGTGTACTCAGTGACAAAACATCTTCACCTCTCAAAAAGAAGCCTCTGGGAACTGGGAGGATGGCTCAATCAATAACATGTTGGCTTCATAAACACAAGGACCTTGGTGTCCAGTCCTTGGTGCTAGTGTAAAAAGCTGGGCAGGATTGCATGCCTTTGTAATCCCAGTGTTGGGGAGGCTGAGACAGGAGGATTCCTGGGGCTCACTAGCCCATCAGTCTAATTGGTGACTTCAGAGCCAATCAGAGACTCTGGCCCAGCATGGTGGTGCACCTCTTTAATCTTAGCATTTGGGACACAAAAGCAGGCAGATCTCTATGAGTTTGAGGCCAGCCTGGTCTACGTAGCCTAGCCAGAGCTAACCAGTAAGACCCTGTCTCAAAAAAAAAAAAAAAATTCAATAATAAGACACACAGAGAGAAACCTATCTCAAAGGAGATAGTCCTCCATCCTTTACATACATGTGCACCCATTCACTGCATGCACACCCACACGTACATGTGTACTTATACACATGCATTTATTTTTAAAGCCCGTGTCCTCAGCTACACCTTCGGACCTTATCTCATCTCTACAGCACACCCATCTTATATGCTGGAGCCATCAGAGCCTTGTCACCTCAGACAAGATCTTCACCTAAGAGCTGTGCAAGTTTTACATGGAACATTCCTGACTTGGCAGTAAAATTGAGGAAGGGGTTTTCTTGACTAAATTCTGTTTTTTGGTTTTTTGTTTCAGATTTTATGAAGAATTCCCAATTAACCTGAAGACTGGGGAAGCAAACCTCACCCAACTCTATTTACAGGTAAGGCTAAGTGGGCTGGTCCAAGGCAAGGAGGCAGGGGGATGAATGGCCTGAAGCAGAGGAGAATGGAGGCCTTTCCCACAGGAAGCTCTGGACTTCATCAGGACACAGCATGCAAGGCAGAGCCCCTTCTTCCTCTACTGGGCCATTGACGCCACTCATGCACCAGTTTATGCATCAAGACCTTTCTTGGGTACCAGCCATCGAGGGCGGTGAGTCATAAGCCCCACTGAGACCTTCAGCTATGCTCAGTATCATTGGGTGGGTGCTCTGGGCCATTATGGGAAGTCCAAAGCAGCTGGGATGTTTTTCAGTTGTGAAGATTGCTTGGCATACATGAGGCCATTGAACCTCCAGGGGGTTCAGTCCTCAGCACCACAAAAAAGAGAAAGATACAAAAAAAAATCTATGCCTCTTTTACCTCCTCCAGCCTAGGATCAGTGATGAAAGGAAAGTTGTGGTGGTTTTATCTGCTTTGTTTGCAATGAACCCTTTGAACTCGAGCCAGAACTTTCCTTTGAAAAGCAGCTAGCTGCCCCACTGGTCATCTCAGAAGTGATAAGATTAGTATTGGGGTCACACTAATGCTCTTGACTGCCTGATAGAATATCATCTTCCCCTGCAGGTATGGTGATGCTGTACGGGAAATAGATGACAGTGTTGGAAAAATCCTGAGCCTTCTGCAAAACTTGGGCATCAGTAAGAACACATTTGTCTTCTTCACATCTGATAATGGTGCAGCCCTCATTTCTGCTCCCAAAGAAGGCAAGTTCTGTTTCCTGTCCTCTGGCCCTAGGTCACTCACTAGAAGGTGGCTCACAGACTGAAGCCTCCCAGAATAGAGTACCTAGCTGCAAGGTCTTGACCCTGCTGACTCAGACATGGTCTGGGTTCACAGGAATTTGAATCTTCTGAGAGAGAGGAACAGGCAAGTGTCAGGGGGAGGAGATGCTGTCTCAGGAAGGTCCTTATCAGCAAGAAGCTAGTTTCCAGCAGCCTCAGGCTACAAGAGACTTTGGCAGCCAGGGCTTTGGCAGAATACCTGGTAGTGATAGGTTAGAGCTTGTTTGGCTGCTACAGAGGTGGCTGGAAAAGCATCCTCAGTCTTGGGAGCTGAACCTAGGACAGTCACCCATTATGCTGCAGGGGCTCAACTATTAACATGAAGTTCCCAATCAAGGTTGAGAGCCCAACAATCTCCCCAGCCTGTACTGCCCTTAGGCAATCTGGGCTCTGGTACCTCAGGTGGCTCAGTCAGTCCTGCCACCCAGTGTCCTGTGGGCTTCCTGGTTTCAGGTAAAGAAACCCAGTACAGCCATCAGAAACCAAAGAAAAGCTGGTTTAGCAATAGAAAAGACAACCAAATCTAGCCAGGCTAACCTGAAGGCTCTCAATGCCAACTCTCAGGGGTCAAAGGTGCTAGACAAAGGGAAATGGTATTTCTAACAGTTACTCTAAGATCGCAGCAGCTGCTCTTGTGTGTGTGGTAGGTTGGAGGGCAAGGGCCATCCTGCACCAGGGGTAGAAGATGGTAGCTATAAAGAAAATGAAAAAAGTCCTTGGATTCTGTCAAGCCTAGGCTCCAACTTGTTATTAAAAAGTGGGAATTCGGGCGGTGGTGGCACACGCCTTTAGACCCAGCACTCAGGAGGCAGATGCAGGTGGATATCTGTGAGTTCGAGACCAGCCTGGACTGCAAGAGCTAGTTCCAGGACAGCCTCCAAAGCCACAGAGAAACCCTGTCTCGAAAAAACAAAACAAAACAAAAAATACAAATAAAAAATAAAAAAAGTGGGAATTACATGCTGGGATACAGCAGATTCTGACAATAACTAGACAAGGCAAAGCAAAACTAGTTATCCTTGCAACAACTGCCCAGCTTTGAAGAAATCTGAAATAGACTGCTGTGCTCAGAGCTGAAGAGATGGCTCAGAGGTTAAGAGCACTGACTGCTCTGAGTTCAATTCCCAGCAACCACGCGGTGGCTCACAACCACCTTAATGAGATTTTGTGCCCTCTTCTGGCCTGCAGGGCACATGCAGGCAGAAGACTGTACACTTAATAAATAAAATAAAAATAAAAAAAAGAATGCTATGCTCTATTGTCCAAAACTGGTGTCCATCATTATAGTGTCAATTCTATTGAATTAGGCACAGCATGCAGACAATACCACAGAGTATGCATGCTGACTGTCATTCACCCAGGTAAATTCTAATATTATAGAATCATTCCTGAACAGACTGATGAAAAATGAACCAGGAAAGTTTTTCTTGAATAAAACTTGTCAGAGCTTGTTTTTAAAACATAAAAAAACACTTAAAATAAAAACCCACATTCCCGGTTGGAGAGATGGCTCAGTGGTTAAGAGCACTGACTGCTCTTCCAGAGGTCCTGAGTTCAATTCCCAGCAACCACATGGTGGCTCACAGCCATCTGTAATGAGATCTGGTGCCCTCTTCTGGCCTGCAGGCATACATGGAGGCACAATGTTGTATACATAATAAAAAAAAAAAATCTTTAAAAAAAAAAAAAAAAAACCCACATTCCCAAAACTAACTTAAGAAGTAGAAATAGAGCTGAGCGGTGGTGAGTACACCTTTAATTCCAGCACTTGGGAAGCCAAGGCAGGAGAATCTCTGAGTTCAAGGCCAGCCTGGTCTACAGGGTGAGTTCCAGGACAGCCAGGTCTGCACAGTGAAAACCTGTCTCAAAAAAAAAAACACAAAAAAGGGAGTAGAAATAGAATAATAAAATATGGTCACCTTCAGGCCCCAGGCACCCTCCCCAGATACAGCTTTCTTTCTGCCTGACATCTCTTCTTACTGGTATCCATGCCTGTTTCTCTCATCAGTGCTATTAGCCTGCTGAGGGGTGAATAGAGCTGCTGCTGTTGAGGCTTCTAGTTTGAGTTCTGTTCACACTGCTATGTCTGCTACATATGGAGAAGAAGCAGGATTCCATGGGAGCTACAGAGCGCAGTGACTGCCATTTCCACGGATGAGAGTCCTGTTTGACTTTTCACTGGGAAAACGCTTTGTTTCTCCCCACCTCTGTGCCCTGGGGCCTGAGGTAGAGTCTCAGCAGCACATGCTATGGCTATCTATCTATCTTTGTGGAACAGTCCCACCTAGCTCCAAGACTCTTGGATTTCTTCCTTGTGTCTAGGCGAGAGATGAAAAGGGGCTTTACCCCTACCAGCTTCCCACAGACTTGTTCGGGACCTTGTTCAAAATCTAGCTGTGTGCCCTGCCCCTACAGACTGTGTAAAGACCAAAGAGAAGCTGGGGTAGGCTGCATTTTAAGTAGGATTTTCCCCAATACATGATGCCTGTGAATATTAGCATCTAAGAGCACTAACTTAAAAACATCAGTAAGTGTCTGTGACTTTTGATAGGAACAGGCTTCTATGGCTGTTTCCTTTTTCTGAGCAGTGACTACTAGTAGGCTTGTGGCTCCAATTGAGGCAAGAATTTTCTGTTCTCTCTGGAAAGCTATGTCCAGAGCATTTTAGCTGTCTGGGTCAGAGCCACCCAGGTTTCCTGACTTGTGTCTGCAGCCTGACCTCCTCCTCCTCCTGGTCCTTTGTCCCTCAAGACTCAAATGTACCTAGCCAGGAGTTCAGAAGTCAGGATAGGCCACTTGCCAGCCAGGGGTGCTGTTTGTCTCTGATTCCCAAAGGATCTGAGCCCTGAGATCTTGAGACTGATAGGTGGTGACTCTCACCCCCAGGTGGCAGCAATGGTCCCTTCCTGTGTGGGAAGCAGACTACATTTGAAGGTGGGATGAGAGAACCTGCAATCGCATGGTGGCCGGGGCACATTGCTGCAGGCCAGGTGAGTCAGCATTTCACACTGACGCTATATCTCCTGCAAGGTCTCTCAGGGACATTGGTGCCCATGTGATAAGGGGGCTTCTGTAGTCAACTGACTGCTCACATTCTGTGGACTTACCATAAGGGACAGCTGCAGCCCTACATGGAACCCTCATATCTTTGTGTCAAAGACTAGAGGTGGGGCCTCAAATGAGTGAGTGTGTATCTTGCTCCAATCTGGACACCTTCATATCAGGCAGCACCCTCACTCCTAAGCTCTGGCCCCAGGCAGGCCACCCCTTGTCTAAGAATCCACTCTGGAACTTGTAGTCCCCACACTAAGTGCTTGCTGCTGAGATTAACATTCATGTCACTATTCCTCAGCTGGCCTCTTTCACCAATGGTCTTGGAGACAGTGTCTCCCTCTGGGTTCCTCAATTCACCCTACAGTGGTAGCCTCCATATACTTAGGGGTGGACAGAATAGCTGACTCTAACAAATACTGACTTGCATGGATAGTACAGGCCAGTCTCCTGCTAGGGGCCAGATGATACACACCCTTAATTCCACCTACTATCTTATGTGCCTATTGCTGTGTGGGATCCTATAGCCACAGAGTCCAGGGATTGCAATGCAGATGTCCCTGGTGGCTGTCATTCTGTCAGACACAACAGTCTTTACCCTTTCCTATAATTACACATATTAGGAAAGTGAAGCCCAGGGAGGTCACCTGTCCAGCCTGCCAGCTACTACAGCAGAACTGGCAACAATCCCCAGATATCCAGCCATGGGACCTACATTCCTACTCACCATGCTTTGGATAGTCTCCATGTGTCCCAAGGAACAATTGGGACTTACCCTCATTGTCTAGCTTCTAAACCTAGACCTGCTTGAGCCTCTGCCCCTCACTACCCTTTGCCTAGGGCCTCTTGACATGAGACCTCCAGGTCATACTAATCACCAGATCCTCGAAGGTTGGTGGATCTCAGTTTGTTGAATAGGCCTGCCTGTCATCTGGCCAGCTCCCTCTGTAGGACAGAGTGCCCATGGCAGCAAACTCCTCACATATAGAAGAAATATAGGGATACTAATGGACACTCAGACTGGTCATGACCATCTGACCCTTATTAAAGGGACCTGGCCCATCGCTGCAACTGCGGAAAAGAGGAAAATTCATTTCCTAGTGCCATCACTTCCAACTCTCATGTAGCTGTGAAAGCACTGAGCCAGTTGTCATTGGGTGTGGAGTGGGAGACACATGAGGTTTTCCTAGGAAGGAACACCAGGCATGGCCTTTGTTCCCCCATGAGGAGCCATATCCAATCCTAGGTTAAACCCTGCCCCCACTTGGCACTGGCAAATCGCAGAGGGGCAACTGGGAAAAGGGAGTTGGAGCTGCCTGTGGGCCCAGGATGCCTAACCTACTGTGCTTATGTCCAGTGGGTTCAGAGCATCTGCTTCCATAGCTGTTCCTGCCGGATGCCCTCCGGAGGCACCAAGGTTTGATACTAGAGTCAAAGACACACAGCCTTGCCTTCTGAGGAAAGGAATAGCAGTGCTCCAGAGCTGTGGCTTTCTTTTCACTATGCTTCCCACAAGACATCCCACTGGAACGAAGTCACATGGGATTCAGGCTGTGCTCTGTAAGAACTGAGGTTTTTACTTAAAGCACCCTGACATTCATCTACCCTGCAGCAGACACTTAGCCTTCCTGTTGCTTCACCTGGCAGCGGTGGTCTAATTGCAGCCTTTAATTCAGTTTCATCTTGAAGAAGCTGACAGCAACCTCCTGCTGTTGGGCACAGTATCACAAACAGCTGGTGCATGTGTGCTCAGCTTTATGCATTGGCAGCCATCAGATCACCTCCTTTCCATCACCTCAGCCGTGGAACATGCTTCCTTCCTTCTCTTACTTTTTTCTAAATGAAAGTTTCTGGATCTGCCCCCCCCCCCATTCCAATTCCCTCTTGTTTGGAGGGAAATACTTAGAAGAGACCATGAACCACTCAGAAGGCTCTGTTTCCCGCAAAGGCTTCAAAGGGCCTCTGTTGTTCCCCTGCTGCCATAGGTAGGGAGACTCTGGCACCTGTAAGAATGTCCTATTCCCAAGCAGGCTCTGTAGAAGAGTGTCAGTGTCACACAAGGACCTTGTTGCATGGTAAAAGTCATGGCCATTAGATTTCAGGCCACACAGCAAAGAAACAAAAGGCAGGAAAGAGTTGAGAGTCTGACAGACCTCAACAGATGGGACTTTTATTTCAAACAGTGAAGGACAGACACTTTCCTTTGGGAAAGGAGGGGTGTGCAGGGGGCTGGGGGAACCTGGTTTCATCTTTTATAGGGGAAGTTGTGGGGTTTGGGAATGAGGAATTGGGTACTACAGCGGAGAGTACATGCAGATTGCAAGGGTCTCTTCTGGAGTTGTTTGTCCAAACAAGGTCATTTTTACTTTAGAAACTACCCCTGCCCCACGATATCAGGATGTGGTGCTGTGTGACAGAGTTAGGCAATGGCAGTAAGGGACTGGAGTTTCATCATAGAGATGGAGGATTTCAGCAAGCCTTTAGGGGGACAGAGGTTCCTTGGTGTGAGTCTGGCCGAGTTTATTCAAGGTTTATTCAACAGTATCTCCAGCTAGCACAATTGAATGAGGGTCAAGCAAGGAGTGATAAGAAGAGTGCTGTCTAAACTGAACTTGCGCTGGGGTCCTGACTGGCTGCTGTGGAGTCATGTCTTCTTAGAGGACGACAGACACCCTTCTCCAGAGACTGCTCATCGTACACTGACCTTCCCAAGCCATAGAGGTCAAGAAAAAGAGATAAGCACACTGCCTATCTCCAGCACAGCAGCACTTAGAGGATGTTGGGGGTAGGTGAGCCTGTGAAACAGCTCAGTGTTAACAAGGAGACAGAGTTACAAAAGACCCCCAACCACTTACTGACTGGGGCTGCCCTTGAACATGAGCAGAAAACAATCAAGCACTCTTCCCACAGGGCTAATACATCCATAGATGAACAGTAGTGGGCCCACTACTGTGCCCCTGGCTCTCTTGGAACTTCTGACTGGGTAGAAAAGGAGGCAGCACCATTTGGATTGGTTCCTCTCCACTGTCTTCCTTGCTGCTTCTAAGACTTTCCTGACTTTTTCTCTTTTGATGTACAAAGCTCATAGTAACTTTCATGTGTCAAGTGTTACAGTTGAACCTTGAAAGGTGAGTCCCTTGTGGTGCTCTCTCTGTGTAAAGAGCCAGGAGGAAGGGGATGAAAATAAGGCTAGGCAGTTAAGAGCACTAGCTGCTCTTCCAGAGGACCCAGGTTCAATTCCCAGCACCCACATGGCAGCTCCTGTCTGTTACTTCAGGTTCAGAAGATCTGACACCTTCACACAGACATACATGCAGGCAAAACATAAATACACATGAAATAAAAATAAATAATTTAAAAAAAAAAAGCTAGGAGGAGCTGCTAGCATTCTGGGTCTAGCTATGACAACCAATCCATGTGTAGCAGAAGTGGAGCATGAACTGTGGCCTAACTCTGGGGTCAGATGTGCAGTCTAAGTCCCATCTGCCACCCACCAGGCCCATAGCTCTGCTCAGCCCTGGCTGTGACCCCCATGGCATGTGGCAGATAAGTATGTGTTGGAGCATGTGTGCACATCTGCAGACCCAGAGGAGAGTCTCCCGGCTCCAGCCCTCAAATACCATCTGCTCAGGAAGCCTCAAAGGAGTACTACATCCATTTCAGGTCAGCCACCAGCTGGGAAGCATCATGGACCTCTTTACCACCAGCCTGTCCATTGCAGGCCTGAAACCACCCAGTGACAGGATAATCGATGGACTTGACCTACTCCCCACTATGCTCCAGGGCCACGTGATGGACAGGTTGGTGCTAGACAACATCTGTTTCAGCCCCAGTCCTGCCTCCCTTGCTCCTATTCTTCATGATGGGTCTCAGAGCTGCTCACAGGCTATAACTTCCTCATTGGCTGTCTATGACCCATATGGAAGGAAACAAGAGTATAGATGTGGGAACCCTGTAGCTAAACTTGGGATATGTACCTAGGAAGGAGACCAGTCTGGGCCCATTGGGCACTAGGAAGCCCTGACTCTTAGGAAAGCATCTTAAGGCTTTGGGGGTAGAGGTGTCCTTCCAGCATGTGTAGGCTTCTCCCAATCCCAGACCCATCTGATTTCCAAGAAGGAGGATCTCATTGTCACCAGCTCAACTCCTTTGCCAGTCCAACTTCCTAGGGCCTGGCTTTGCCTCACCAAAGGCCAAAACAAGCAGGGAATGACTTGGGCCAATCCATATAGCCTTGTTGGCTACCACACACACAGTGCAAAGTGGGACCCCAAGACCTCAGGCATGCTGGGAAAGCATTCCACTGAGCCACATGCCCCTATCCCTCCTACTCTTTGTACTGTGAGACCTTAGTGCATCTTTAAAATACTAGCTGACACCTGCATAGGCAGCTCACCCCTCCTCAGGCAGGAGCCCCACACATGAATACATAGACTTGGTCATGATTCTGTCTCTCCTCAATGCAACAGGCCCATATTTTATTACCGTGGAAACACATTGATGGCAGTCACTCTTGGCCAGTACAAAGCCCACTTCTGGACTTGGACCAACTCCTGGGAAGAGTTCAGACAGGTACAGGCCCCCGAGTACAAGCCCTGGGAGGAGCACCACTGGGAGATCTCTGGAGAATCTGTGATCTATCTACTTCTAAACCTCCCTCCCCCATGTGGCCTGTGGGCCCTGCCCATTCTGTTTTCATGTACAGATGTCCAGAGGTAGGCTGGGCACACTTCTTTCTCCCTGGAAAATGTTAGGAGCATATGAGTGGTGTCCTACAGAGAAAGAAGCTAGGGGACAAATACTGTCTCCTGGGATGTCCTGCCTTCATAGGTCTTCAGAGAACACAAGATCCAGGTTCAGGTTGGCCTCACTCTCTACCATGCCCCTAAGCATCTCCTTAGTACCCATTCTCTTGCTCCTTCCAAGGCTGGCAGCATCAGCAGTGGTCTGCCCAGGTCCAGATGCCAATGCCCACAAAAGGCATCAGTATCTACAGCCTGGTGCCTGCTCAAGGTCTGAAGGTGAAGTGCCACAGCACATAAGCCTAGACTCCTGCTGGCCCATCGGCCCACATGGGGCCGCCATAGGCCTTGTGTCCCGCAAGCTTCTGGTCCTGCCTCTTCCATCCCCTCAGGCTCTGCAAAGTCTTTATTCACATGAAAACCTACTAATGTGCCTTAATAGGGAAGGAAATTACTTACTGGAAAACCCTCCAGCTACACAGGGCTTTGGGCCGGGCAGGATGCCAGGCTGGGCTGGGTATGTGTGGGCAGGTGAACAGCATATACCCAGGTGGACATGTGGCTGTAACTCAGAGGCATGACTCCCCAGTGCCTTGTTTGGGGCAGCCTAGGACAGTGTCCAAAACCCATGTTCTTTCTGACCCACACTGCCTGAGGGCCATCCAAAATACTGGCCTGCCATGCCATCAAAGACTGTGTTCTATTTAGGGTTTCTATTGCTGTGATGAAACACCATGACAAAAAAACAAGTTGCGGGGGAAAGGTTTATTTGGCTTACACTTCCTCATTGTATAATCCATTATTGAAGGACAGGAATCAAACAGGGCACCTGAGGCAGGAGCTGATGCAGAGGCCATGGAAGGATTATTGCTTACTGGCTTGCTCCCCAGGCTTGCTCAACCTGCTTTCTTATAGAACCCAGGACCACCAGCCCAGGGATGACACCACCTACAATGGGCTGGGTCCTCCTCCATTAATCACTAAGAAAATGCCCTACAGATTTGCCTACAGCCCATCTTATGGAAGCATTTTCTCAATTGATATTCCCTCCTCTGAGATGACTTTAGCTTGTGTCATGCTGACAAAGCTGTCGAGGACAGGCAGTCAGTATCCTAGAGACACCTGGTTCCTGGCTGCTTGTGGATGCTCCTGGTCCCTGTAACCCAGAAGTGCCTTTGGAATTCCCTCAAGGGATCTGGGGCTACAGTGAATGGACCCTTAGGGTTGTCAAACAAGTCCTTGTACTCTCCTCAGGGTTTTTTCTGGGATACCTATTGTTGACTCCTCAAGAGTCTGAGTAATTTAAAAGTCAGAAGGAAGAAAATCCCTCTCATGACTGTGGATCTCTCTCTGGACCCTGCAGGGCTACAGGGGGATAAGGTGGCTACTCTGTCCCTTTGGACTCCTTAAGACAGGGTCCAGAGAAACCCATCTTTGCTTCTATCAGACTAGCCCCAATCCAAGAAAGCATACACCAAATCCTGCCAACACCTTTGAATGTCTGGAAGTTCCTCCAGGCAGAATACAGATCTACATGGCATGGTGGGTATGAGTTAGTCCTGACTTGAACATGTTTTCATGGGCTAGATGATATCAGGAAAAGCCCGCAGTGCCACCAGCAATGCCTTGCTCTGTGTTCCAGCAGGAAGAGTGAGACTCACACTCCACCTCCTTGGTTGTCAAAGGAACATGCCTCTTCCATGTTCTGGATCTCCTGTGAGGAAGCCTGTGTTGGCATAGGTTTACTTAGCTTCTAGCTTCTAAGAATATGCGACATTTGAAATGTGCATAGCCCTTGCTGTTAACAGAATCTCTCTCTCCCCCATTGTGGACAATGATTCCAAAGAGCCAGGTCTCAGGGCATCATCTCTCATGGTTCAGGTTTAGATAGTTGAAAGTTGGTCTCTTGCTGGAATCCAGTCTAGAGAAAAGTTTCCTGGAGCCTGGATGGGACAGCCTAGGCAATGGCTACTCCAGCCACATCAGGAGATGACTGTCCATCAATCCCACCCTCCATCTTAAGCTGAGAGGCCTATGTTACATAGTGGCCTAAGATCTATACAGTAGGTCACCTGTTTTAAAGGTCACAGCCAGGCCCAGAAGAGCCAGCATCAACCTTGGGTTTACCTGATAGACCAGGGCATTCACAGCCCTGTGTTACTGACATAGGCCCGGTTTCTTGGCCTTATGTCACCTGCATGGTTTTGCAGGTCAGCCTATGGAGGCTTCATGCCTTCACAAGCTCATCTATACCCTGTACAAATGCTAGGATCTCCACAAAGCTGTTTTGAAGCTGAGGAAGAATCCCACAAAAGATGACAAATTCATGTCATCTGAACTGCCCCTGGGCACAGATCACACAAGTCCAAGGGCTGGGAATTATGTATCTGCTCACTGTCCCATCCTGATAACAAACACATTGGGGGGGTTTATTTGGAGGCCACATGGTTTTTCCCATTAGGTTCACTCTGTACCCACTCTTGCTCTAAAGGCCAGGCCTGAGAGTATTATAGCCAGCATACCCTACTCCAGGTCACTTGAGTGGCTAGCCTGTTCCACTTCCTACTTGGGCCTGGGACCAGTGGAACCCAGGATTCCTTGGTGTGACTATTCCATATAGACTTATGGGTACGTCCTCAGTGTAGTGCCAAGTAAGCCTCACCCTTTGGTGGGGGGCTTAATATCCCTTCCTTGAAACCCAGTGCTAGAAACCAACCTGGCCCGGTGGGAGGTGAGGAAAAAAATACAGAGATGGATAAGGGTGCCAGACCCATTAGGAGCAGGGATTTTGTTTTTGTCTTTTGGGGTTTTTTGTTTGGGTATTTTTTTCTGTTTGTTTTTGTTGTTGTTGTTGTTGTTGTTGTTGTTTGTTTTGGGGGGTTTTTTTGGTGGATTTTTTGTTTTGTGTCCCACGCGATCGTCTCGCCGGCAAGAACCACACAGGACATTCGGATCCTTCTGCAGTAAAGCTTTAATGCGTCTTGAGAGGAGAGCATAAGCTTACCAGAGCGGAGACCCCGAGCCAAGAATCCCGTCCCCTTATAAAGGCTCACAAACTCTGAGCAATGCGTGTACAGCTGGGATAGGTGCATGACTCGTCACCCTATATGACGCCATGGAATAGGCGGGGCTAGGCAGTGGAAAAACACTGGGCACATGTATACCAACGTTGTTTACTTGA